ACTTACCACAAACCACGATGAAAGCAATGGGCCGGAATGCAACAAGCGATCTCCTCCTCTCACCGGCATCTCTGGGAAGGAAGAGTGAAGAAACTCCCAAAAACGAACCCCCTCCCTTCTTACACACACTTAGAAAAGGGGTAGCTATTCACTAGTCTTACAAGTGCCCATTACCGCCTTAAATTTGGGAAGAACCTTAGTAACTATTTTAACTTCCTCAAAGTCTCCCTCTCCCCTCCTCCCGTTTCTCACATCCCTTGCCCAAGCCCGCTCACCGCACAGCCACCAGACAAGTACCCAGCCGTTTCCTTAACCAAGCGCTACTACCCACTCCGGGGAACATTCCAAAAGACGCTACCATTTGACACGAAGGGGGGGGACGCTTAAATTACCACAAGCATCTCATGCACATGCATTTCAATAGCTTCGCTACCTGGAGAACTAGATCAAAAAGCAGCTGGAATTAAGCCAAAGCAATAAAACAGAGAAGAGGAAAAGGGCGGAAACGGAGGTTTGTTAGTACAGACCTGTTCCCTCCCCCCTTCAGGTCCACTTGGTTCGTTCCCGGTGGAAGCCTGAGCGGCTCCCATTGCAACATTGCGTCTTCCCTTCTTGGAAGTTGGGAAGCCGCAGCCAGCAGGGCATTAATTGTTCGCTTTACGCCTCACATGATACGAGGGAGGAATTGCATTAGCCACTCAGTGCTTCAGCTCGAGCAACACTTCCTCCTCCTTCGTACACAGGGAGAGCCAGGGAAGAAGCGAAGGAAGTTTTATATAGTAACTTGCAGAACAACGCACATCCCGTCCGACAAAGCCTCAAGAAAAGTACTGCGTAGAATTTGAGGGCACGATGAAGCACAGGAACTCATTAGAGAAAGTGCATGCTAACAAACGTAGTTTTTCCACTCAGTTTACGAATGCTAGAAAAATTTTAAAGTGAGCATTTTGCGGGAAGTAAAATGCATCCTAGACACGCTTAGAAAGCAGTTCTAAATGTCCCTCAACAAACACCTTTGCGATTAATAAGTAAATAAAAGTTATACTGGAAGTTTCACTTGGACTGCAATAAATTTGCTTTCACAATTCTCAAGCTATTTTAAGCCATTTCTCAAACCTAGGGGGACAAGTATTGTCTTCTCTGAAGTACTGGGAAGGACTGAATAGATAATTTGTAACACAGGTCGGATCCTGGAAGCTAAATAGGATTGGCCCTAGTTAATATTTGGACTGGAGACCACCAAGTAAGTCCAGGGTTGCTACACGGAGGCAGGCAAAACCACCTCTGAACGTCTCTCATCATAAAAAACATTAAGGGATCACCATAAGTCAGCTACAAGTTGATGGCACTTTACACATATGCAGGGGTCATTTCGTAGAAAAAGAGGTGCAGGAGCTCATTAACATAACTAATTTGCACATGCCACACCCCCTGACATCACCGGAAGTGTGTCAGAAGGAAACACCCACCGCTCAGGCTCCACTGGACTGTTTTGGATTGCTAGCTATTGGGGGAAGGACTGAATAGATAATTTGTAACACAGGTCGGATCCTGGAAGCTAAATAGGATTGGCCCTAGTTAATATTTGGACTGGAGACCACCAAGTAAGTCCAGGGTTGCTACACGGAGGCAGGCAAAACCACCTCTGAACGTCTCTCATCATAAAAAACATTAAGGGATCACCATGTCAGCTACAAGTTGATGGCACTTTACACATATGCAGGGGTCATTTAGTAGAAAAAGAGGTGCAGGAGCTCATTAGCATAACGAATTTGCATATGCCACACCCCCTGACATCACCGGAAGTTTGTCAGAAGGAAACACCCACCGCTCAGGCTCCACTGGACTGTTTTGGATTGCTAGCTATTGGGGGGGGGATGTGCAGATCTGTCCTCGCAGAGGAGGGAGAGCTTGTACCTAAATAAAACTTGGTCTTAAAGGTGCCACTGGACTGTTTGGGGCTGGGGGGTGGGCTCTGCAACTTACCTAGCTGCTTCTTGCTCTGACTGAGGGCTGCTGGGAGCAGGGGGTGGGGCTTGTTGCATGTGCCCACCCCCTGGGCTCTTTACTGCCAGAGCCCCGCTCCTGTGCACTCCTGCAGGAAATGACCCCTGCACATATGGGTAATAATGCCACCTAGACAAGCATATGCTGCTTATATTTTAAGAGGAAGGCAACTGGCAAACCACCTCTGCTTCTCACTTGCCTTGAAAGCCCCTTGCTAGGGTCACCATAACTCAGCTACAAATTGATGGCATTTTACATACATGCGCACACACAACACACATGAAAGATGTCTTGGTAATTTAGAGAGATTGTAAAAGTATTTGTGGAAAACCTAGGAAGGCAGGGGAGGAACACAGATGTGCCAGGTTTAGAACATCCACTTGAGGGCTTTCAGAGTCTTGCATATTCTTTCCACAGTAGGTAGGTCAAACCCTAAAGGAAGAAGCCTGCTGTCAGTCCAAATTGCCAAATGAGTGAAAGATCCTGAAAGGAAGAGGCACAAATGCCAAGAAACAGTAGACATCTTTTAAAAGTAAAACCACTGGGAGAGGTTGTTTGGGAATTTGGATTGACATGTCACCAATATGTCTTTGACACCCAGCTGTATTTCTGCTTAACAGCTTTTAGGTGGGTCTGTGGGAGTCCTGGAGGTGCCTGGAAAAAGTACTGTGATGGATAAGAGCCAATAAACTGAAACTCATTCCTGACAACAGTAAGGTGCTATTGGTCAATAGAGAAGCTGCTCAGGGACTTCAGAGCCAGCCTGTCCCAGAAGGGGCTGCACTCCCCCTGAAGGAGCAGGTTTGTAACTTGGGGATGCTACAGGAGCCTGGCCTACAGTTAGAAGCACAGGTCTCTTCCAAGGCACATAGTGCCTTTTATCAGCTTTTGCCAGCTATGTAAAGGTAAAGGTTCCCTTGCTCGAAAGCCAGTCGAATCTGACTCTAGGGTTGCGGTGCTCATCTCCGTTTCAAAGCCAAAGAGCCAGCGCTGTCCGAAGACATTTCCGTGGTCATGTGGCCGGCATGACTAAACACCAAGGCACATGGAATGCTGTGTTAACAGATTAGACTGGAGCAAACTAGTTTTAGCCAGTGCTTGAGAGCTGAAGTCAGAATGACTCAGCACAGAGGAATGATTGGCTACTGACATGTATATATGTGATTACTGTACAGTCTATTCAGTTCCCTCTTGATATGCGGATGCTTGGCAAAGCACTTTGCTTGTTGATTGTGCATACCAGAATCACTAAAACAACCTTGTAAATAAACCTTGTAAATACTTTCAAGACGTTTCCGTGGTCATGTGGCCGGCATGACTAAACACCAAGGCGCACGGAACGCTGTTACCTTCCCACCGAAGTGGTCCCTATTTATCTACTTGCAATTTCTTGCTTTCGAACTGCTAGGTTGGCAGGAGCTGGAACTAGAGACGGGAGCTCACTCCGTCTTGCGGCACACTCGGGTCTCGAACTGCTGAACTACCGACCTTCCACAGCCTGCAGTTCAGCGTCTTAACCACTTGAGCCACCGCAGCTCCGTAAGACACTAAACCCAAGCACAAAAGCCAGGTCATACCTTTTATTAGGCACAACCTGAATAACATTGAACAGTGTGCCAGCTCTTCTGTTCGAGAGCACATTGTCTTGCAAGCATCCTGGGTGAGATCATGAGAGGGAGGGCAGGAAGGATTGCCTCGGTGCTTAGTTCTTCTGGCCCTTTCTTACATGTCCAGGGAAATGCTGATTGCCACTTTCAAGTCAGGAAGCAGTTTTTCTCCAGACCACTTTGGCTGGAGATCCTGAACGTTTTTTGTCATCTTTTGCGCATGGAACAGCAGTCACTGGGGATATGGAGGGGGAGATATTTGTGACATTCCTGCATTGTGCAGGGGGTTGGACTAGATGACACTGGAGGTCCATTCCAACTCTATGATTCTGTGATTCTAAATTACTACAATGCACTCCATGGGGGGGTTGTCTTTGAAAATGGTCTAGAAATTTCAATTGGTCCAAAATGCGGTGGCCAGGCTATGGCCAAGGGTTGGTTACAGATCTGTACTAGCTATCTGTGTGCTTCCAGGCACAATCCAAAGTGCTGGTTCTACTTTTAAGACCCTAAAGGGGTTGGGGCCAGAGTACCTGAAGGACCATCATTCCCATACTACGTAACCCGCCAGTTAAGATGGAATGGGACCTCAAAGCTAGTCACTTGTTAACATTTTACATTTAATAAGGTCTAAAACTGGTTTACAAACAAAGGAAGATAGTTGAAATGGCCACAACTGAGGCATCAGGGGCAGAATTCAAACTTGCTTAAGATAGCCTTCAAAACGTATTAATTTTAGCCCTGACCTGGATAGCTCAGGCAAGCTCTTGGAAGCTAAACAGGGCTGACCCTGGCAAGTATTTGGATGTGAGACCTCTTGGAATACCAGAGGCAGGAGAGCCAGCGGCAGGCTATCAAGCCACTTCTCTGAATGCCCTCCATGCCCTGGTAGCAGTTGGCAGAGGTCACTATGACGTCCAGGCAAAGGCGTGTGCGCATGCACGCGCACACACACACACAAGTACAAAAAAATTTAATTTTGTCAGAAATCCAGCAGTGTTCTTTTTTGCCTACAACTGTTCTATTTAGTCATTTCTCCCTTTAAAATTAAGTTGCCATGTTGTACAGAAGTCGGTATTACATACTTTCCACCAAACTACCATCATTAAGTCACACAGTTTTCAGGGACCTGAACTATAAATATGAAGCTTCAGGATTAGTTATAAGGCTTTTTTTGGAGATATAATAATGGCAGCCTTCAAAACCACAATCCTGTTTCAACAAGTCAGTCTATTAATTACATACTTAGGAGCCAGATTCCACACCTGTGTTTGGGCACAGTGACTCTTGGCAGCCTTAAAGTCCCAACATCAGTTCACAGAAGGAGGACTTACCCACAGCCCTAGCATTGATGCAACACTCTGGCATCTGTACCTGCTTCACTACCTTGTGCAGCCATGCCAAAAATGATACAAAAGTTACTGCAAACAGTATGCAGGGAATTTCCCCTTTATACCATGCTTCAATTTTAGTCCACAAACCTAACTTTAATGTACACATGGGAGTATACTACAGGAAGAGGAGGAACCAGCATTATGACCTCACCAAAAAGGAAGGAAGGAAGGGAGGGTCTATGCTGAAAGTGCATGCTGAGTATTGAACAACCTACTGGTGGGACTGGGCTATGTTTGGCAGAGGGAAGAAAAAGCA